TGTACTGGAAGGAAACCGAGCTCTTTTTTGAGACCCATATGTACTTGGTGTGATTGATAATGAAACTGGTAATAATGCGTTCAAAAACTTTGCATAATGCGGATGTAATGGCAATTGGACGGTAGTCAATAGACGAGAACGGGTTAGATATTTTAGGAATTGGTATTATGTTTGCTGATTTCCATTGATCAGGTAGATAACTGTTTTCCATGAGGCAGTTAAATAAGTTACAGATTGATGAGGAAACTTCAAAGCAAACTGATTTGAGTAAATAAGGAGAAAGAGTATCTGGTCTTGACAATCCTATCTTTAGTTTGTTGAGTTGGTTGAGAATGTTAACAAATGTAAAAATAGGGGTAACCCCTGGTGACAAAAATTTGGCTCAAAACAGACACAAGCAGTAATACTGCAACAAAAAGTTTAATGAACAAAATATTAGTAGAACATAGTAAGCAATATACTAATTTTTTAGTTTTGGAACTGAAATAATGCTTTCTCGCCATTACGACGTACTGCGTCAACAATTTTGTATACATGTTCGCACATGCCTTGTACAAGATTTTTATCAACTTTTCTTAAACAAGAATGAATTCTTTTTTGCAGATGATCTTCATTTTCAACTTCTCAATTGTTTTCATACACGTAGGGTTGTAAACTTGGTTGTAATTCTGGGACACATGTCGGAATATCAACTTTTGTTACATAACTGATATATAGGCCAGAATGCATAACTATCATTAATACATAATAATCATTACTATATATAGGACAGAATACATAATTATCGTTACTGTGATGTTTGTTGATAAAAGAAATGAATCGTTTGATGATGCAATCATTTTTTATACACTGTTTGGTTAATTGCCAGTTTCGCAGGAATAATAAATGGTTTTGAGATTCTACGAGAGGATATGGTAATTCACACAAGAATTTTTTTTTTCAAATTTGCTTTTGCGCTTATATTTTACATTTTTGGTGCATTTTTTGCTTCATCTGAGTAAAACCCAACATTAGATTTTTTATTCGTATGTTTAAATGTAAAATAAGACTTATCGTCAATGAAAAGTCACGGTTTCTGACAAACCGTGACTTTTCATTGACGATAATTTGCGACAAACTCTTCCACACTTCAGTTGCAACTGCTTTAATTGTTTATCAGTGCGATCAGGGAATTATTTTTTCTTAAAATAAAAAATGTTTGTTTTGTTTTTTAATGTTTTTTTAATGTAGGAATGATCACAATTTTTTTTTGTTGAAGTTCTAGACCGGTTGTTCAAAAGACCTTTCAGGCGATTGATGTTCCTAGCAGTCATAATTTTTGGTTTTCTACCTGATCCAGGTTTACGAGACTTTAGCTCATTGTTCTTCCACTTTGCCATATAACGTTTGATGGTTCATTCGGGATTATTAGAGACAACAATATACTCTACGATGCTCTTTGTTTTAACGTTATGCTGCAAATTACTATAGTTGTACACATGTTCAAATAATGTAGTCGGCTTCATTTTTTGATAACTTTCTTGTTAATTGATCTAAGTAAACAAAACTTTTAGTAAAAGATAACTAACACTTTATAAACAAAACAACTAAAAAAGTAAGACTAGATAACTAAAAGTTCAATAAGTTTTTGCCTCTCAAAAATTGTGCCAAATTTTTTCACCAGGGGTTAATAGGTGAGATTACTTATCAGTTAATGAAGTACAAGAAATAGGTTGTTTCTTACCAATCCAAACATTTTAAAAATGATCGTTTAGTTGGTTTGCTAACGTTTTAGAAATGGTAGTGGTGATTAGTCCTTTATCTGCTAGCCTGATTTCTCGCCAAAAATCTGTTTTTCCAGAAGAAAATTATCTGTTATAGATTCTTTTTCTTTTGGTAATTAGTCTACTGACTTGATTGATAAGTTCTTTCCCCTCACTGTAGCGCCCGGAGAGTAAAAGTCGTTGACGTTGACGTTGACATCATTTGTTCAAAGCCTCTTTTATGAGGCTTTGAACAAATGATGTCATCGAAGGCTTTGAGTTAGCAAACGTTATTGCTCTTAGAGGTTGACAGATGTCTTGAGCAGAAATTATAAAATAATAAAAATTGTTGCAAACAGTTTGTTTTTTATACAGTAGTCAATTAAGGTTTCAAGATAGTATAATTGCAACAGTTTCAGCTATTCTACCTGACCAGTAAGTAACCTTGTGAGGAACTGGGCGAGCGGATTTATAAAGATTTGAAGGAGGCAGATTAAACTCAATGAAGTGATTTGAATTACAAAAACTAGAAAAGTTTTTGGATACATAACATTTAGGAGCATTTTTAGTAATGATCCTAAATGATGTCATGAATAGCTGAATTTCGGATAGGATGTTCATTAAGGACAAATGAGTTGGTGAGAACAACAAATAAAATCAGTAGGGCAGCCATTTAGATTCCCTTCAAAAATTATTAGTTGTTTGTTGCAAATTATGGCCGGCTCAATAAGTTGGGTAAGGTGATAAGATGCATTGCGCTGCTTTGAGACTAAACCCGAATTCAAGCACATGTTACTAGACAGGAGGAGTGCCTACAATTTTTAGGGTATACACGACCAATAGTTAATTCAATTTCATTTTTAGACACCAAGTTGGACAAGTAGTCGGTCATTAGTTTTATTTGTTCTATTTTATCTGATTATTTTTATCAGTTTTATAATCTGTAAGTAACTGATAAAAAATTTTGATTTTGTTACAGAAGCCCATAGTTGTGCAGATGGTTGTTAAGCGAGTGGTGTTGATACTAGAGCAAATTGGTTGGCATGGACGCTCCAGTGAAAGTGTGAATTAAAGTTATCAATACAAAGTTTATTACTACGAGCTTTGCTGTCTTTGAATAGTTTATAATCAAGTTCTCTTTCAGTAAGTGTTAAATCAAGACTGACTCTGTATTTCTTGAAAGTTTCATGTCTAGCGAGTTTGCGAGAATTCATATGAACTAATTTTTTTTATCACTAAAGCTCTTGAATTCTAACATAATGGGCCATAAGTTTAATGTTTTTTTAGTGTTAAGGCTCTATGAAGAAACTAACATCATTATTGGTGAGGCTCAAAGCTGTTAAAATCTCTGTGATGCAGGGTAACACTGCTGGTGGTCTTTGGGTGACACCTGCTACAGAGACTGCTTTTAGAGGCCAAATGTTATTATAATTTTTTCAAAACTAGCTGTTAGCTTTAGTTTAACAAGGATTTAATCAATATGTGGCACTGAGTTTGGTTTGTTTCTAACTACACTACTCCAGAACGGTTGGTGTGAACTTTCTTGGGTGACTGATTGAGAGTTGAGGTTAGTTTCTACAATTGCTAATTTTTTTTCAAGTTTTTATTTTTTTATTTTTTTGACTTGCAAGTTTTCTGTTTAGAGATGATATTCGTGAGCTCCAATAGCCAAATATCCAGGTCGGCGATCCTTTTGATGACCCTACCTTTTGATGACCCAATAGTAATAGGAAAAAAGTTATTTTTACTTATTTAATGCTCTATTTTTTAAAAACATTAAGCACTCGTTTTGTAGAATACACTAACACAGTTTACATTACATACAATACACACATACATACATACATACATACATACATACATACATACATACATACATACATACATACATACATACATACATACATACATACATACATACATACATACATACATACATACATACATACATACATGTAAATACATACATGCATACATTCATATATTCATACAATTATTATATTAAATATTTTGTGACGTCACACTTCTCCAAGCTCTTCCCTCTCACCGATTTTCACAAACGTCTAGACCTCTCCCTTCCCTAGATGCGTGACGTCATTTATGGACAGTCCCTAGAGGAAAGAAAAAATACAACATTATTAAAATGATTTCATAAAAATTGGTCCTTAATGCTCATTATGAAATGCATTAATTCGATGAAATTTTGATGATTTTTCTAATTATTTTGAAAAATCATAAAGTAATGCCAGATTTCCTTATGTTAAAAATCACCTAAATTAGGCAGATCATATTATGCAAAATTTCTGCCCAATTGAGTTTTTTTGTTTAAAAGAGATCAACAATAACAGGATTATATTTTTAACGGCACTTTACCCAAGATAGATAATTTTTAAATAGAAATAAAATGTTTAAAAATGTTGAATACTGCTTTCAACCGCCAAGAAGAATATATATGGCTCTAGACAAAATAATAAATCAATAACTTTTAAGAAAAAAGCCTTCCAAAATTTTTCAAGCCCATTTTAATATGTTCTTTTTTTAAAGGGCGCTATACCTGTAGTAGATAATTCTGTCAGTAAGAAATCAAGTTAATAAATGTTTATACCATTCTATAGTTAATACATGTCATATTATCTTTAACATATGTTTAGCATTTTCTTTCTCTCCCACTCTCTTCCTCTCTCTTTTTTTCTTTCTCCCTTTCTCTCTCTCTGTATATTTATCTATATATATATATATATATATATATATATATATATATATATATATATATATATATATATATATATATATATTATATATATATATATATATATATATATATATACATATATATATAAATATATATATATATATATATATATATCTATACATATATATCTATATATATATATATATATATATATATATATATATATATATATATATATATATATATATATATACATATATATATATATATCTATATATACATATATATATATATATATATATATATATATATATATATATATATATATATATATATATATATATATATATCTATATATGTCTATACATATATATCTATATATATATATATATATATATATATATATATATATATATATATATATATATATATATATATATATATATATATATATATATATATATATATATATAATGCATATTCATGTGCATATGTGTTCATGTATATGCAAAACTTGTAATACTTATTATCTAAACAATTCTTAGCTTCCAAAAGTCATAGATACAATGTTCAATGATTTCAATCAGTTAGTTGAACCTTACTGGGACTATTCTAAAGAACACGGTCCTCATCAATGGTCAAAGTATTGGAATTTTACAAAAAGACAGTCTCCAATCAATTTAAACTCAAAATTAATTCAATATGATTCCACTCTAAAGACGCTGCATTTTGATAAGAAAAAAATTAATCTTGAAGTAAAAAACATTGGTAAAAATATTTCTTTCTCTGCCGTAAATGATGCTGAAATCATATTTTCAGGAGGCTCTTTAAAAAATCGATATGCATTTCGAGAAATGCATTTTCATTGGGGCGAAGTCCTTCATGGAAAATGTTGTCACGGCTGTGAACATACTATAGATGGCAACAGTTATTCAGCTGAAATGCATATTGTTCATTGGAATGTAGATTTATATAAAACTGAGTTAGAAGCTTTGAAAAGCCCTAATGGTGTTGCCGTGTTAGGATTATTTATAGATGCTAAGGCGATTAACAAACAAAACGAATCTTTTGAATTGGTTATCAATATGTTTAATAAAGTTCCATATATGAACTATAAAACCAAGTTAGAAGTTTCTCCTTATTTTTTGGTTCCGATTTGTACGGAGAATTTTTACACATACCCTGGCTCATTAACTACTCCCCCTCTTACTGAAAATGTTACGTGGATATTACTTGCTGAGCCAATCAAGATTTCTATAGATCAGCTTAAAAGAATGACAACGTGCACCTCTGATTGTGGATATATTACCAACAACTATCGTCCAATTCAACCGTTAAACGACCGTGTAGTTCGTTCGTCGTTTTGTTTACACCCTGAGAGCCGCAATTAAACCATCTCCTAACAGTTGTCGTGAAAAACTCATAGAAAACTATATTTTTTAAATTGAAAATAAACGACAAGCAAGTTTTCATCACTTCATTTTTATTGAAATATTACAAGTAAAATGTTATGATTTTTATACGTATATTTAAATTATGCATTGTTTTTTTTTATCAACGCACATTTTAAACTATTTTCTAACATAAAAGCACTTTTCAAATTTTTTTTTGATGCTCTTTACAAATTTCTTTTTTGTATTAGTTATGCGAATTATAGTTTATAATTTTAGTTTTCTGTTAAATCTTAACGGTTTTTCATATCTTTGCTCTTTGAGAGCACAACCCTCTGTTGCAAAATTTTAGTCTTTATGCTGTTTAAACGAAGTAGAATAAAGATTTTGTGAGTATTTTATACATATATTTCTTTTTTTCAGTGTTTAAACGTTTAAACACAGAAACTTCGTACCAGGTAAAAGCTGTTTAAAAAAAAGCATAAAATAACATAAAAACATGTGGACGATAATCATCTAACAATTAGTAAATGCTTCATTAAAACGTAAGTCCGGGTGAAAAAAAGCAACTGCTTTAACTTAGCGTTTTTGAAGCAATTGTTCAGCCTTACGTAAATAAAAATTATAGGAAGTTCCCTCAATTTTTTATTCAAAAATGCTGAGAAATTGTTCCGCTTTACGTAAATAAAAGTTTGACCAAAGTTGGTCAAGTTTTTATTCCCGTAAAGCTGACCAATTACTGAGAAAAAAGCATTTGCTTTTTTTTAACACCCGGCCTATTAACTTCGATCATTAAAATTTCGCTTTAAGTTTCAAGTTTTATCACGAGACATTTATGCTTTGTTTTTTTGTTTTATTTTTTGCTAGAATAATATGTTACAGGGTTATTCATTTTTATATGCGCGGTTGTTCATTTTTATATGCGCATTTATTCATTTTTATATGCGCCTTTATTCATTTTTATATGCGCCTTTATGTATTTTTATATGCGCATTTATTCATTTTTATATGCGCCTTTATTCATTCTTATATGCGCATTTATTCATTTTTATATGCGTTTTACAAAAGCCTTTGTACAGGGTTATTTATTCTTATATGCCCGTCTATTTATTTTTATATGCGCCTTTATTCATTCTTATATGCGCATTTATTCATTTTTATAAGCGCCTTTATTCATTCTTATATGCGCATTTATTTCGCCTTTATTCATTCTTATATGCGCATTTATTCATTTTTATATGCGCATTTATTCATTCTTATATGCGTGTTTATTCATTCTTACATATGCGTCAACCACCCATAAAATCTCTAATATAATTTAATATAAACAATAAATACGCTTTTAAATTTTTATATAGATATATTTAAAACATAAATTAGGTTGTTTTCATTGTTATTTATTTAAGAAATGGTTGCAGAGCCAGAACTGGATTTATGTAACTACGCATATGGTTGTAAAATGGAAATATATTAAACGCTGTAGTATCCATAATATTTTGAAGATTCCTGATTACCTCATCCGTATTTCGAGACCTTTCTCCCTATTTTTAAGTATGTTTTAAAGAAGAAGAAAAATTATTTTATTGGTTTAAGCTGTAGCGTGTATGCTGGCAGATACTTACAGGGTTATTCATTCTTATATGCGCGTCTATTCATTTTTATATGCGCCTTTATTCATTCATATATGCGCCTTTATTCATTCTTATATGCGCATTTATTCATTCTAATATGCGTTTTACAAAAGCAATTGTAAAAAAGCAAATTCAACAAAAAAAATCATTTAAGAAATTTGTTTTGAAAATACAGTTTATTATTTCAAAACAAATTTTTCTTATTTCCTGGTAAACGAGTTTAAAAATACTTAAAACGAAGACTTTTTACATTCGATGATGATTTATTTAATTTAGTATTAGTTCTTTGTAATTTTATTAAATTTCTTGATTGATTAAGTAATTATTTATTCAATTATTCATTTATCTAGATTTAAATTTAATTATTTATAATTATTATTAATATCAAATTATACATCCCTATGGATGGAATAGAAAATAGCAGTACCAATCGTAAAACAAGGAAAAATGTCACAAAAGAGCACATTAAAATGCTTAAGCATTTAATTAAAAGAAATAAATCTACAACAAGCATTTCCACTTCTCTTAATTTATCGAAGCGCGCATTCAAAATTTTGTCGTTAAACAGAGGATAATTTGACGACATGACTGCATTTAAATCGTTTTCTGATAAAAAACGAGGTGAAACGACCTATAAACGCTCAAATAAAAGATATTATCGAATTATGCGTACAAGAAAACAATCTTTGCACGCAAGAAGCAATAAAAAAAAATCTTTCTGCAGCAGGCTTCAACATGTCTTAGCCTACTATTTCAAGAAAACTCAATTGCTCGGATTTATTAAGAAAACGTGTTGTGTATGTGCCAGAAGAACGAAATTCAACACTAATTATTAATGCACGCTATGCATTTGCAAGCGAAATTAACGGAATTTCAAATAAAAAACTTATTTATTTGGATGAAACTGAATTTAATGTGCACACTAACAGCACATATGGTTATTCGCTAAGAGGTACGCCAGCAATTTTACAGTCATCTGCAAATCGTGGCAATAATCTTAGTTTAATTTGTGCTGTTTCAACAACTGGAGTGCTTGCTAATGAAACAAAAACTGGAGGCTGCAATGCAGATTCATTTTGTACTTTCATAACTACAATGATGGCACCAGCGATTAGGAATGCAAATGTGGAAGCGCCGGTGCTTGTTATGGACAATTGTAAATTCTACTGGAGTCTTTCTGTTAGTCAAACACTAGCCTCATGGTATAGCTATTAAGTATCTGCCAGCATACACGCCACAGCTTAATCCAATAGAAGAATTTTTTTCTTTTTTAAAACATACTTACAAACAGGGAGAAAGGCCTCTAAATACGGATGAGGTAATCAGGAATCTTCAAAATATTATGGATACTACAGAGTTTAATATTTCGTTAATATATAGTTTCCATTTTACAACCATATGCGTAGTTACATAAATCCAGCGCTGGCTCTGCAACCATTTCTTAAATAAATAACAATGAAAACAACCTAATTTATGTTTTAAATATATCTATATAAAAATTTAAAAGCGTATTTATTGTTTATATTAAATTATATTAGAGATTTTATGGGTGGTTGCCGCATATATAAACGCGCATATAAGAATGAATAAACACGCATATAAGAATGAATAAATGTGCATATAAAAATAAATAAATGCGCATATAATAATGAATAAAGGCGCATATAAAAATGAATAAATGCGCATATAAGAATGAATAAAGGCGCATATAAAAATGAATAGACGCGCATATAAGAATGAATAACCCTGTAAAAAAGCAATTTGAACAAAAAAAAATCATTTAAGCAATTTGTTTTGAAAAAACAGTTTATTTTTTCAAAACAAATTTTTCTTAATTCCAGGTAAACGAGGTTAAAAATACTTAAAACGAAGACTTTTTACATTCGACGATGGTTTATTTAATTTAGTATTAGTTCTTTGTTTTCGATGGTAGTTTATTAATTTAGTATTAGTTCTTTGTAATTTTATTATTAAATTTCCTGATTGATTAAGTAATTATTTATCTAATTATTTATTTATCTAGACTAAAATTTAATTATTTATAATTATTGTTAATATCAAATTATACATCCTTATGGATGGAATGGAAAATTGTTTTACCAATCGTAAAACAAGGAAAAATGCTACAAAAGAGCACATTGAAATGCTTAAGCAATTAATTGAAATAAATAAATCTACAACAAGCATTTCCACTTATCTTAATTTATCGAAGCGCGCAGTTCAAAATTTTGTCGTTAAGTTAAACAGAGGATAATTCGACGACATGACTGCATTCAAGTCGTTTTTTGATAAAAAACGAGGTAAACGACCTATAAACTCTCAAATAAAAATTTTTATCAAATTATGCGTACAAGAAAACAATTTTTGCACGCAAGAAACAGTAAAAAAATATCATTCTGCAGCAGGCTTCAACATGTCTCAGCTTACTATTTCAAGAAAACTCAAACGCTCAGATTTATCAAGAAATTGTGTTGTGCATGTGCCGAAGTACGAAACTCAACACCAGTTATTAATGCACGCTATGCATTTGCAAGCAAAATAAACGGAACTTCAGGTGAAAAACATATTTATCTGGATGAAACTGGATTTAATGTGCACACTAACAGCACATATGGTTGTTTGCTAAGAGGTACACCAGCAATTTTACAGTCACCTGCAAATCGTGGTAAGAATGTTAGTTTAATTTGTGCTGTTTCAACAATGGGAGTGCTTGCTTATGAAATAAAAACTGGAGGCTGGAATGAAGATTCATTTTGTACTTTCATAACTACAATGATGGCACCACCGATAAGAAATGCAAAGGTTGAAGCGCCGGTGCTTGTTATGGACAATTGTAAATTCCACTGGAGTCTTTCTATAGGCAAACACTAGCCTCTCATGGCAAAGCTATTAAGTATTACAGCTATTAAGTATTGATATTATTAATAATTATGAATAATTAAATTTAAGTCTAGATAAATGAATAATTAGATAAATAATAACTTAATCAATCAAGAAATTTAATTATAAAATTACAAAGAACTAATACTAAATTAAATAATCTATCATCGAAAACAAAGAACTAATACTAAATTAAATAAATCATCGTCGAATGTAAAAAGTCTTCGTTTTAAGTATTTTTAACCTCGTTTACCTGGAATTAAGAAAAATTTGTTTTGAAAAAATAAACTGTTTTTTCAAAACAAATTGCTTAAATGATTTTTTTTTTGTTCAAATTGCTTTTTTACAACTGCTTTTGTAAAACGCATATAAGAATGAATAAGAGCGCATATAAAAATGAATAAATGCGCACATAAGAATGAATAGAGGCGCATATAAAAATGAATAAATGCGCATATAAGAATGAATAAAGGCGCATATAAAAATGAATAGACGCGCATATAAGAATGAATAACCCTGTAAAAAGAATTTTACAATTAATATATTGACATTTACTACATGAATATATTACTAGCAGGACTTCT